CCCAGCCTGTATTTGTGCCTGGGGTTGCCAGCATCATGAGCCCCAGTCCCCCAGCCCAATGACTTATGTCTGCCAGATGCCCTTTGACACAAGGTGTGCAGGGAAAACAGTACAGTACCTGCCCGGGACGTCCTGCTGGCAGCGCTGCCTTTGCTGTTCCCGATGCTGTCCCCTCGTGTAAGGATGGAGATGCCACTGAAGCTGCTGGCTTTGGTAACAGGTGGTCGCAGGTTGCGGATGGAGCCATCTGAATCTGTGCTGCTCCAGGGCCGAGGCTCCAGCGACTTTATCTCGCTCTCTGTGCTGCTCTGACGGCTGCCTGAGGCCCGGTTCAAACTGTCCCGGTTACCCCTGCAGAGACCGGAGAAGTTAGACCGTATCTCCTGAGGAAAGGGGCCAGGGCAGGACCTGCAGGTGCTGCCTCAGTACTGCCACACCGGGGAGGTGAAGGTGTGCCCAGTCAGCAACTGGCTCTGTGACACTGCATGTTGGCACTTTGAATAGGGATCTGACAGCAAACACACACCCTGGGTCACAGCTTTCTTGGGCATGCACTGTGAAGACCCAGACACTGCTGGTCCTCCTTGGCGTGTGTCGAGAGCTGGCTCCTGGCCCTTTTCCCCAGCCAGATCCCAGCCTGGCAGAGACGGCAGCAGAGTCAGAGCATGATCCCTTGCTAAAGCCATCCTTGTCTCAGAACAAGAAACTTTTAACAGAGGCCTTGAGACAAGGCTGATCGAGATCTTGTGAGACCACTTTCCACATCAGCCCTGGTAAGGTTTTCCACCCAGCTGGGACAGCTACATGCCAGGATATTTCTATGCTCAGAGCTGTGCTCCCACTGATCACCCTCCTTCAGCCCCAGGCCAGGTCTGGCCACAGCAGGACTTTATGAAGTATCAGCAAAACATCCCAATCAGTGAGCCTGGGTTATGAGCCCAGCCAAGGATCATAAGCACAGTAATGGGTTCTTTGGCCTTTACTGGGGAGGAACGGTGAGGAAAGCAACACTGGAAGTGATGCTGCTAGGCTGAGCCTGGCAGCAGCTCCATGCAGTTGTGGAGGGGAATAGAAAGAACTTCTGAGGTGATGTCCTGGGCTTCTGGGAGCACATGAAAGCCAAAGAAAATGTGTGTCTTGGAAAACCATTATGATGGTTATATCCCTAAACAGGTGAAGGAATTGAACTGTGCAGCCTCAAACCTCAAATTACAGTTGACCTAACAAGCATCACTGTCAAGCTCTTGGGGTCTCTCCAATCTCAACTCCGAAGGCTGCTCCCGGGGATGTTTAAAGAGGTGAAGGCAGTGTTTGTGTGTGTGGGGAAGGGACATGTCATGTCCTCTGTTCTGATTCTGCTGCAAACTCTGGTTCCCTGAGAACCCAGACCCCTCTCAAGCTGATTTCTGCTAATCCAGCTGAATAATGGTTCTGCTTTTTCTACAAATTCACTACCACACCCTTGCTCTCTGAGAGCTCTGCCCTAGCAGCTTCAGCCATGCCTTTCTCTCCATTAGCCTTACTACAGTCTGCTTCCAAGTGTGTTCACCAGCAGAGAGCTCTCTGCAATCACATTTGTGCTTCAGCAGCATTAATACAGGACCTCCAAGTAAGTGAAACAGACAGCTGTATTGCTCTGAATGCCAAGTTTTGAGGGTAGCAAGTCTCTGGAGTTCACATAGACACCAGCACCACCACTGAGGGAACCCTAATCTCCTCAAGAGGCTGTCTGTCTCTGTCTGAAGGCCTATGTATCCTCCCTTTCCTCACTATGGGAACCACAAAACAAAGACAGCAGGTTAACCAAGCTCAGAAACCACTCAGAAAAGCTCCTAGCACAGCCCTGGCTGCAGCTCAGCTCCTAAAGCTGCAATCACATCAGCAACAGGGGTTTTTTGCTACTTGCTGGATGAGTTTTATTACAGCCCCATGGCTGATCTGAAAACTATACTCTCTGCCTTGAACACAACTGCCATGCACAGACTCCAGGACACAGTCCTGTGTTGAGGACACTTGATTTCCATGACATTGTCCCTCCAAGGACAGCCTGAGCCATGTGATGGACTGAGGAGAGGGGCAAAGCTTCCTACACTTGCTTAGATCCTCTTGTCCTGTTCATACACAGAGATGCTTCATCTCTAGAGCTTTGGCTATTAAACGAGAGGAGAGCAGGCACGAGAGTCTCTCCATTTTCATCCTGTTCTTTATTCTCATACCTTGAGCAGCCTCCTGCAGCAGGGGTCTGTGCAAGATGACTCATCAGGCTAACTCCATCCTTCCCTCCACAGGAAAACTACTTAATAAGAAAATGCTGCTCAAACATGTTCCCAGTGCCCTCTGCAGCATACTCTGGTTGAAATGGAACCCTGAAACACTTCATTGCCACCATTAAATAATCAATCCAGCCTTTACCATCAGGGATTAGGGACAACCCCACCTTATCTGGATGCTGATCCTGTCATTGTAAGGGCAGGGGCTTTCCTATCCTTTTGGGAAACAAGAATGGTTTGAAAACGGTTGGAATCCTCTGGCTTCCCCATTCCTCCTTGCCATTCCCACCTTCCACCCCTCCGTTTTAATTGATGAATTAGCAAAAAAGGACTCAGAAATTGATGTTGCAAAAAATACAACTTCAATAACTTCACAAGCAGCCATGCATGGGGCAAACTTACTTAGCAGGACAATGTACAAAATAAGTTACACAGAGATACCTAAAAATCTGCCTCCGTTTGTGAGAACTAGAAGAAAAGCCTTCTTTGGAGATTCTGTCGGTTAACATCAGAAAAAAGCATCATTATAGAGTCATGCAGTCCTCCACAGAGAAAGCCAGAGATACAAATAAGTGTCTGCTAAACAGTACTAACCTGCTGTCGGTGAGATATCCATTCTGGCCAGTCTGAAAGCACAGAAAAAGACATGGAGATGGGAAGGAAAGAAAAGGGAGACTTAGTAACTTTGCAAGCAACAAATCCAGGCAATTTCAAAGCAAAGAGGAGCAAAGCAGTAACAGTATGGGACTCAGACACACTTCATGTTGTGCACATGGTCACTCAGGAGTCTTGCTGAGCCTTCTGCACATCAGTCCCACTGGGCTCTCCATCCAGGCCCAACTTTTCCCAATACCTGTGACCTTGAGATCTCTCAAGAGTTTGCAAATCTGAGTCCTCAACTCCCTACTTCCTTGCTCTAAGGCAGCTTTGATGGTAGCTTTGTCAATGGAACAATCAAGGCCAGACATACAATGGTCCTTATTTGCTAAATCCAGGCACAATTATCAGAGCCATGAAAAAAAGGCAGAGGGCTCAAAGACAGCTCAGCCCACCCAGTGAGAGTCACCTCTGCCTCTAGAAGTCAGATGCAAAGCACTGGCTCAGCCCATGAGCACAGAGCAAGGGTAAGTACCTGCCCACCCAGTGTTGTGCTAACATGGGACAGCATCTACTCTAGTCCAGGGCTACAGGTAGAGCTACTTACTAACATGTTCAGATGGCTTTGGGCCTGTGCATGTAAGAGAAGCCCATGATCACAACTGGCTGGAGAGTCATCAGTTGAAGCCTGATGACTTGACTAGGGACTCAGCACAGTGACTGCCTTAACATCCTCCTTGGGCAGGCATAAGGCAATTCCAATTAGGACAAATGAAAGGTGTCGTCCCTAAGACACTCAAAAAGCAGCAGGCAAGGAGCTGGACTTTGAACATGATCCATGGCAGATGGGCACTTGGAATCATCCTTGATTCCATCAGTTGCCACTTGGCACAGCAAGAAGAGCTGCCACCAGCTGGCAGACAGTACTCGACACAGCAGAGCACAGCAGCCTCTCTGAGCCAGATGTGAGCTTAGAGGAGTTCCACACAGGGAGCAGAGATCTCAAGGAAGCAATAACCAAGCTGGCCACTTCCTAAGAAGGACAATAAACCTACTGCCCAGATTCATCCTGTAAAGGCACAGAGCCCTCTCTGATACTCCCAAGGCCAGCACTGCTTGGTCAGAAGGTCAAAGCTGCAGCACTGGAGAGAAGCTGGGGAAGACAGCTGCTGCTCCTTTCAGGGTCATCAACTGATTTGCTGGTCACCCCAGAAATGCCACTGCATAAGCTTATATCGCTGGGCAGCAAGGGGCAAAACTGCCTCCCCTGTCAGTCCCCACATGTCCATCTCCCCCTAAAACAAGCAGTTTAGGGAAGGAGCAGATTGGGGAGTGGAGGTGTGGCTCCTCTATCTCAATGTCTCAGACATCTTTGTTAGGAGCTGGAATTCAATGGTAGGTAGATATCAAGAACACTGGGAAATCTGTAGAAAAGGCAATGATGAGATCTGACCTCTCGTATACTAAGAGGTCACCTTCTGCCACAAAGTTCCAGGAGGGTACCTGGCAAGTGAGTCATCCAAGCTTACCTCTCGTGCAAATATCCGCTCCCTGACCCGCTGATACTCTTCCTCTCGCTCTTCTATAGATTTGCTCCTTCTCCCATCCTGCAAGGGGAGTCTGATCTGAAGGGACAAACACATCTCAGCGGGTCAGCAGTTGCCAACGGGAGCAGGGGGAGCAGTCAGCTGCTGATATTTTTTTTACGTAGCAGTGCAAGTGGATGTGGATTATGGAGTGTGTGCACAATGCTTGGATGCAATGACACAGCACCTGCCTTTGAACCTACCTTCTGGACACCTATGTCTAGGGATGAATATCCTGGAGGTCTTAGTGAACTCCACCTCCTGGATCAAGCACAACCACTCTGCCTGAACTCTGCCTGATTCGGAAAGGACAGATCAGGAATATCACCATGTGCTTCTGAAAGACAGTCTGGTCCAACGGGTCAAAAGCTAAAGGCTACTCTTTGGAGCATGTGCCAACACAGTAAACTCCTGCTCAGTCATGGATTCAGTGCTTCATGGGTAGCTGCATCACCTGCAGAGTGCTATCACAGGGAAACCAGAAACTGATACTGATTGCAATGACCAGCTACCCATCCCAACGACCTCAGTTCAGAAACATGGCCCAGAGTACGGGGACAGTGGTATGTTTGGAGGGATGTAAAGATGAGAGCTACAAGAGCAAAGAGCATGAGATCCCTGGTAAAGAGGTCTCCTGTCTCTTGCCCCATTTATTATGTTCAAGATTCTGTCTGACATAGGCTGGGAAAACAGCCACAGATGAAACAAGGTAGCTTTGTGTTATGGGTGTAGTGGCACCTGTGACAGCCCAAAGGTAGTCAGAGATTCGGGAGGGTTTTTAGCTCCGATGACTGGCAATGCTGCTGAGCTCAACGTGTTTTGCTGAAGGTTTCCATCTAACAGCACTGCGAGGTCCTGATGACTTCACAGCTTGACTCGCTGCAAGCCCCAGGGAGGGGTAGGAGAGATGCTTGGCAACACTCAGCTCTGGGGCATTTCCAAGGAAACCTTAGCAAAAGGCTTCACCTGAAAGCCTGGCCCAGCCACCAGCTGATATTCAGGGTACAGAAAAGTACCCTCCATAGAACCCACACAAATTCTTCATGCATCTCCACAGTGTTCTGTAAAGTTTTCATGATACAACTAGATCCCCTTTCTTGGGTGGGGTGGAAGCTTCTATTAAAGAAGTTTACTGCAGGAAACCCGAGAGAAATTTCGAGTTGTTCTCATTTTAGAAAAGTCATATTTGACTTTCACAAAATATGCAGATAACCCATTGCCACCCCTTACCTGATTATCATCTCGGTCCATGCTGGTATCATCTCGTTTTAGGATAAACCTCTGTGGGAACTCTGCATTCTTCTCATCTTTGATGTGCTCAGAGAACCTCTGCTCAGGGCTGCAAGAAGAACCAGCCCTTGTTAGAATGGCAAAAATGGGCATAAAATTGTCTTCATAAAACTACTACTTTGCAGGGAGGTAGGGGGTGTGCAGAGATGCTTGTTGTATTAAATCTCTCCTCTGTTTGATGGCAAGAGCTCCTGTCTCCTCTCTGAGAACTAAAGAGAGCTAGGAAGAGCTTGCAAATCCTTAGAACTGGAAGTGAAGGATTATTTTCTTCTAGAGAGGGCACTTGCCTTTCTTAAGGAGGCAAAAAACCATGGTGTGGAATCCACCCCTCTCTGGACCACGACAGGGCTCTGTGTCTCGAGGCCATGTAGCACCATGCAGGGAAGGGAAGGGGATGCCAGCCCAGTTCTTCTCCCTCCCTCCCTTCCCTCTTACATTCGTGTGTTACTGGTCTTGTTGATAATGACTGCCTTCCCAGTTTGGTCAACGTTATGGTCCATGCCGAAGTAGGCAGCTACCCGGTGCAGCAGCATCCTATGGTATGAGGTCATCTGAGGGAACTTCTTAAACTGGTTGCTGAGAAATGGGGAGGAAGCATTAGAATTTAGAAGGCCTTGAAACAGACAATGATAATCTGACACCACAAGAGAGATCAAGGCCAGAGACACCTTAACCAGATCCCAGATCTCAGACCACGTCACCTATCCCAAGCAGCTTGTCATAACTCAAGTGCTGCTTCTTACACTGAGCATGAGCATTGGCTTACACTGCTTTGCCAGATAGAGTTGGGCCGATTCAGGGGCTCAAGTTGAACAGGCCTTTCCTGAAACAAGACCAGTTTGTGCAGAAACACACGTTTGTTTCTAAGCAGGAACAGGAGCCAGAGTTGGTACTTACACTGCACCATCTCTGATCCTATTAAAGAAGTTTGCAAGCTCTGCTGCAGACACCCATTTGATTTCACATACCAGGATGCCAATCCTGCCCCTGGTTTCTCCATCCCCGATTTACACCAGGAAGAGAAGGATAATGGCACTAATCTCCTTCACAGCAGACTCAGAAAACTCGTGTATGGGCAAAAGGAGGTGGAGGGAGCACAAGAGAACAGGCCTCCTAACCAGTGTGGCCAAAAGATACTCCCTTCTCCCCTGGGTGCCCAAGCTCCTAAATTGTAAGTTATAAATCTCTTTTGCTTGACAACAAACTTGATGTCACTTACTTGTTATCACTAATAAATTCCAGAATCTCCTGTTCTAACTTTAGTAGCATCATTCTATCCCTGTCAAGAAAAGAAAAAGGAAAAGGTCACCTTTAGAGACAGTGAAACACAGGTTTCTCTGCTTGGTACTACCCTCCCTGCAACAGAGAAAAGTCACAAATACCTGGAGCAAGCAACACTATTAACACATCCTTCACACATCCTCCACAGAAATGAACTAAAAAACTCCACATTTTTTTTTTATATATAGTAAATTAATTTGCCAGATATTTTATTTTATTTTATTTTATTTTATTTTATTTTATTTTATTTAGTTTAAAGTTGTTTTGCTAATAGTGCTTGGCTTTTGGTAATATTGAATCTCAGCTCTGCTGGAAGCTCCACTGGTAAAAATTCCAGCTTTGCTATTCCTATGCCAGCATTTGGCTTGATTACATTTATTACTGACACAGCAGCAGTTCCTTTAGAGGTTGGTATTTGACAATCATTTATAGGAAGGGTTTTAAAGCAATCAAGATTTCTTCCTGTTTGCATTCAAACAAGTTATTTTTCCTCTTTCTCTCTCTCTTTAATAAGCAACTATGTTTTGATTGACTGCAGTATATAAAATTACAGTTGTGCTTTTTGTTTCTACACTGCCCCAGCTCTGAACAATATGCTCTGAACTCCAAAACGTAAAACACTTCCAGGTACTTTCTGTAGTTGCTGTAGTCCCCTCTCCTCCCAAGATCCATGAATACATACATACATACATACATACACACACATGCACACGAACACCACAGGTTTAAGAGTCAATCAAAGAAGCATCAGTCACCAGGTATTCCCTCCCTTCACTCCCTCAGCAAGTTGTTTTACTGACTAGGGACCTACCGTGGGTTTTTTTTCAGTGTATTTACTAAAAATTCATGCAAGTCTATTCCAGTAGAGTCTGTATATTCCTGGCTGGAATCTGAAAAAAAAACAGCAGCAGAATAAATTAACAAAACACTGCAAGAGAACAGACTGAAGGGAAGAGGTGTGTGTCTCACTACACGCATGAGGATCATGTTCCCCACATCACTGCTGGAGGAAATTCAGCCTCATTCTCAGCACTGACTATTCATGACAGGAAAAGAGGAAGAAAAGCCCATCGTGTCACAGAACTGCATGGACTGGGACCCATATCACCTGGGCTCAAGTCCAGCTTCTGGCACAGGCTCTGAATGCAACTTCGAAGTCAAGTTTCTCAAGTAATTTCTTGAGAAATTACTACAATTTCTTTTGTAAAATAAGGACCATCCACCCTTTCTTTTCCCCTGTGGGCAGCAGGAGGATCAGCACACTCCATCCACAGCACTAAGAAGGTCCCATTAGGAGGATGACAGAGAGAGGGAGGTCAGATCAGTTTGTGGAAAGAAACCTTGCCCCTAACACCAACCACTCAGAGCACACTCAGGATATTCCATGCTGTTACAGGACTCCCCTGCCTAGTGTAGAATACCATACTTCTGTACCAGCAACTTCTGCACCTTTGATCCCACAAGTTATTTAACTGGAAAGTCTTGCTGGCTCTGTTCTTCCACCCTCACAACCCTTTTAAATTTAAAAGTAATTGCAGAAAAAACAGTCTGTGAAACTGAATCTGCACCAGTGCAGAACTGCTGTCTGTACAAGGATTTCAGGTGCCATTTGCTCAACCAGATTAAATGTGTATCTTTTAGCCACTTCTGTGCCCCAAAATCATACACGTGGGATCATACAGGAGAAACTTAGCGTGATTCCTTGCAACCTCACATCTTGCCACCTGTGGTAGGTTTTATAAAATTAAATCTAAACTGAAAGCAGAAGTCTATACAGTGGGTCTTCTTGGGTTTGTATCTGCCCATTTAGAAAGCCATCAGATCACTATAAACTATGCAGGAAGCCTGCAAGTCTGTTGGGACACGTGCTAATCTAGAGAAACTCTCCCTTTCCCTGCCATGCTTTGTGTCAGAAAGGATGTTATAAAAGCAAGACATTCCTGTACAGTCATCAGCAGAGATAACTGCTCTGCTTCCAACAGCTGTACCACTGACCAGCAGAATCCTCAAAGTGGGTAAGACAGGACCTGCCCCGTTCAAACGAGCACCTGACCTCGAGACAGCATTTTCCTCGGTGCTTTTTCTTTATTCTTCTCTTTTTCTTCTTTCTCAGCTCCATCTTTCGTGGATTTTTCCTCTTCCTTGTCAGAGGGGCAGCTAATGTGCAACTGAATGATGTCCTAGAACAAAACAAACCAGACTGGCCTGAATCACTTGGACACTTCCATTTTCAGGGGCAAAAGCCTGCATAACCTGAGCAGCTGTAAAACCAGGACATGTGGGTACCCAGTGAGTTGATGCAGATGAGTTCTCGTTAAGAGAAGGGTTGTGACTGTACACATACAAGCAGTGCTCACAGGTACAACCACTTCCTTCAAAAGCAGCCCCTTGTGGGAAATTTTTACCCCCCAGAGGCACAAGCCCAGGACAGGACATGACTTCTAGCAAGATGTGGATTTTCTGGGCTTCCACACTCTACCACTTGTCTCATTCTAGGCCTACCTGGGACTCCAGCAGCCCATCTACAAAGGGGCTAGACGATTCTTCACATACAGCCAAACTTCTGACCAGTTTAAGCTTTGAATTAGACTGGAGAAGGAAAAGAAAGAGTATAGTTAAGACACCTCAGCCAAAATGCACACACTTAAGTTCATGCTGCTGCATCACCAAGCTACTCATGCAGTCATTGTTAATTAAACTGCTAAAAAGGAGGACTACCAAACCAGTTTCTTGCAGCAAAGAGAAATATACAAAGGCTTGGAGTCCTAGAGCAAATAAACTATTTTCTTCCTTCAGTCATTGATTCAGGTTTGAACCAACCAAATTTTAGGTGAGGAAGTTCACTGCCTTAATTCGTGCACTCTTTGACCTCTTCAGCCAGAGCAATGCCAGCCTCTCCCCTCCTCACCTGGCAAAAACTAAAACCATTAACAAAGGATATAGCTGGAACCAACTATTTTATTGGTTTTTAAGATGTGAAGATCTTAATTAAAAGGTTGTCATCCCATTTACACCTCACCTGTTTGACTTGATGACTTTGGTTATTTTGGGTAATGTAGTAGTGCTTAGAAAAAATGCTTAAAATAAACCTGCACTTTCAGGACCCTTGGCAAGTTGATTCACTTGAGTGATAAACAGAAAAAAATTAATCAAAGTCACATGAGATCCCAGGCAGGATCAACAATATGGAGAAAGGTCTGTGAGGTGCACAGACATGTTCTGCCCTAGGTATGGACAGGGCAGGAACTGGAATCACGGCCTGTTTGGGTGCTGTGCAGAGTCCTGGCTTTAAAGACCAAACAGAACCATTAGAAGATTCTTTTTCTGAGCTCTGTAAGTCATAAGCAGCATGTCTCTTTTATACATTCCTTTCATCAAAAGCAAACCCAGGCAGAACCCCTGTCACAAATTTAACTTGTCTTCCCTCTCTCTCACACCTCAGGGCAGAACCTGTCTTCATTTGGGTTTGAACTTTTGTGAAAGATTAAAGAAAAATTAAAAAAATTAAAAAAAAGGGGGGAGGGATGGCAGGGGAGGGGTGGGAAGAGGCCTTCACCCTCCCAGTCACAGTTTTAAAATCAAGCCCTGAGCAAACTATTCACATGTCATAGCTGACCCTCTTTTGAGTAGGAGGCTGGACTAAATGAATCTTAGCTGGAATAGATGGATTCCCAAATTATGCTATATTTCTGGAAAATTCATGGTCACTTTTGATAAAGTGCTTCAGTAGTTGTTATCAAATTTTGCAAAGAAAAACTAAGGTTAAAGCTAAGAAAGGTTAAAAAAAAAAATAAAAATCACACAATGGCTGCATTTTTACCACAAGATTTTGCCTACAAGCAGCATTCTACAGTGATACCCTGGTGCTTATTACTAGCAAAAGGTTTTGATTCACTAACAGGTGTGTGCCATCATTATGGGAGCAAATGGGTCTCTTTAGCTTGGAGAAGAGGAGACTGAGGGGTGACCTCATTAATGTTTATCAATATGTAAAGGGTGAGTGTCAGGAGGATGGAGCCAGGCTCTTCTCAGTGATGCCCAATGGCAGGACAAGGGGCAATGGGTGTGAGCTGGAACACAGGAGGTTCTGCTTCAACTTGAGAAGAAACTTCTTTCCAGTGAGGGTCACGGAGCCCTGGGACAGGCTGCCCAGGGAGGGTGGGGAGGATCCTTCCCGACCCGCCTGGACACCTTCCTGTGTAATCTCATTGAGGTTCCTGCTCTGGCAGGGGGGTTGGACTGGATGATCTTTTGAGGTCCCTTCCAATCCCCAACATTCTGTGATTCTGTGATTACCTGAAGAAAAATGAGGCTTTGAACAACCTGGTCTAGTGGAAGGTGTCCCTGCTGATGGCAGGGGGGTTGGAACTGGATGAGCTTGAAGGTCCCTTCCAACCCAAACCAGTCTGGGATTCTATGAAAAGGGACCTTACATGAAACCAGTTACACTTAACTCTATTTTTTTAACTGGGAGGTGTACAGGCCAGTGCACTACCCTGTCCCTCCACTGACACCTCTAAATTTAATTTCTGGTATTTTGGGCTCTTGGGAGGGGACAGGTGTGGCAGTTAATAGCAGGAAACAGTTCCTTTATGAGCAAGTGTGTCTTAAAAAGGAGCATTCATGCTCCAGTGCATGGGAAGTTACTGTTCTGAACCATCGTGGGCTGCGTGGTGCTTCTGGAGACAGGAAAGACTTGCGAGTACCATCCTAAGGCTGGGACCTCAACTCAGCTCAGAATGGCCAAGAGAAGAATGGGATGTCAGAAGAGGTCATACCTTGGCTCTTTTTCTGGCATGTCCATGACTTGAAGTTCGCCTCTGTGGAGAAAGGAAAGAGAATGTGTTGACTGTACATGGTATCTGCTGTGCAAGGCAGCACAACGCTGAGTGTGTCAAATTCCTCTGAAGAAAATCTCTACCTGCCAACAATGGAAGTATGTTGGAAGCAAATAGGAAGACCTGGAGAGCTCTCCAGTCAGGCTCCAGGTGGGCAAAAAACTGCTTAAGAAATTTCATATGGATTACACCCAGTTCCTCTGTTTCTGACAAAATCAGCACAACTGTGGGATCACAGGGCACACAGGGGGAGCTCCGTGACACAATTCTAAGTGAGAAAAATAGAAGTCTTCTACCATTCCTGGGACATGAAGTGGGCCAGCAGTGCACCTCCAGGGAGGTGATTGTCCCCCTCTACTCCGCTCTCGTAAGGCCCCATCTGGAGTACTGCGTCCAGTTCTGGAGCCCCCATCACAAGAGAGACCTGGAGCAGCTGGAACAAGTCCAGAGGAGGCCACCAGGATGATGCGAGGGCTGGAGCAGCTCTGCTGTGAGGACAGGCTGAGAGAGTTGGGGCTGTTCAGCCTGGAGAAGAGAAGGCTCCGGGGAGATCTAGCAGCCTCCCAGTACCTGAAGGGGCTACAAGAAAGCTGGGGAGGGACTTTTCATAAGGACAACTAATGACAAAACAAGGGGAAATGGGTTTAAGCTGAAAGAGGGGAGGTTTAGATGAGATATTAGGAAGAAGTTCTTCACTGTGAGGGTGGTCAGACACTGGAACAGGTTGGCCAGAGAAGCTGTGGCTGCTCCTCCCTGGAAGTGTTGAAGGCCAGGGTGGATGAGGCTTTGAGCAACCTGGTCTAGTGGAAGGTGTCCCTGCTGATGGCAGGGGGGGTGGAACTGGATGAGCTTTAAGGTCCCTTCCCACCCAAACCATTCTATGATTCTACGATAATACAGTGGATCATGAGAGAGACACACTGCTGCTCTGATTTAAGAGGCACTGACTCATCTGTTATCTCTACCTTCTAAGAAACCTTGTGCCCCATTCCAAATGACAAAGTGACCCAAGTCAGGATCTTTCTGAGCAAGGCTGGTGTCTGCCCAGAACAAATTCAGCTCAAGAGAAAAAAGAACAGCCTGTGAGCAACAGTCTGTACAGTGTGGTATCCCCTTGGGAGGTGGTAGCACAGGTTTAGGCCCCTTTCAGAAGGGACAGCAACTGGCTTGTGTTTGCCAACCAGGAGAGGGTCCAGCTCCACAAGCTGGTGGAAGGGACTACCCACTTGTCTGCACACTTACCTGAGATTCCTGGCGCACGCTGACTTCTTCCCCCCCATCCTTCTCCATCTCTTCCTTGCTCGGCGACCTGGATACATATCTGGTTTTGTTCACAGATTCCTCAATCACTTTTTTTTCAGACTCCTTCATTATTTCCAGGGACTCCTGTGTTGTGCTGCTGTTTGACATCTTCAGAGCCCTAAAACGTAGCAATGGGCACCTATCAGAAGAGGTGACAGAATGGGCAGAAGAAGGGAGAAAGGGGTAGAGAGAGTTTCTATCTGGAACACAAACTCTTGCTCACATAGGTTGTAAATCATCTTGTGTACAAAGACCCCAAACCAAGCACTCCAATGCTGACCCCTGCAGCACCTGGCTCAAGGGGATCTTGCAGGAGCTCCATGATTCTCAGCAGAACTCTGGAGACCCTAGAAGGGCTGAACAAAGCCTCTGAGATGTACAGAGCACTCTGCCCTCTAACTTCTTTGATGTGAGGGAGAGCCTGAAGGTAGTCCTAATGCTAGCAAACAACCAGAGGCAAGGAATTCATTAGGTGAAACACCCTCAAGCAACCAGAAATGTGCTCTGCCTGCAGGGCAAACAATAACAAATCAGCATTTTTTTTCCCCAAATCCCAGCCCAGTCCTTCTTGCAATTAGTGAAATTTTCAGTCAGAAAACAGCCTATAAGCTGGTTCAACATCAACAAGCTGGAAGAACATCGCTCTGGTTCTTCCTGTGAAATAAGGTAAACCCTGAGATCTTCTCTCCAGCTGCCTTGGGTTAGATACTTCAGGAGAAGTAGGAGTCAAACAACAGCAGTCCAATTACAGATTAAGACAAAAAGATAATACTTCCCAACAAAGTTAGGTTTAATTGGTTCTTTTTGATTAGCAAGAACACAGGCCCCTGAAACCACCTCTGAATTAGAGCAGAATCTAGAGACAGGGCAGCAACACGTGCCACAGTCTGTTGATAGTCTTAAACAGGAGCAATGAACATGTCACACACCCATTCATCAAATTAAGTGTTAATTCCAAGTCCATTGTCTGGAATTGAAACATCAGCCTGCTCAGCTACCTCAAAGCAGCCTCTCTGAGCTTGAGTGTGGGTTAAATCAGCTTACGTAGGACTGCAGAGGGATTCTGCCCGCGCAGAACCCACTGATGACAGATGAGGAGGCTGGAGAAAGGATTGAGACAAGTTTCCAAAAAGAAAAGGGGAAGCCTAAATTTGAGAGAGGTTCAAACAAAAGGCCTAAGCACTGAAAAAACACAGCTGAATGTTTAACAACTTGTTTTATTAATTACTTTGGCAGAACAAGGCTGAAAAAAAAAAGAGATTTCACAGAGATTTATCAACTCTTGGCTCTGCATAGGAGCTGGTAAAATCCATTAACTAATTCAACCTCATTCCCGTTTTATTTGTGGGACTGCTGAACAGAAAACATGTATATGACTCTTATTGCAGCTACCAAAATCAGTCACCAGACACAGACAGTGAGAAAGCACAATCAACTGCTCCAAGTTCATGGATTCATAGAGGGATGTGTGAGACACTTGTGAAGACATCCAGGGCAGGTGCCCTGTTGTGAATGGAAAACACTGGGTGTTCCAGGAGGTAACAGAGGCACGGATGGGAGAACCAAGAAAAGAAATGTTTACAGAACTCAAGGCCTTGATGAGTAAGTGCCACCTTGAAGTTGTGTGGCAAATATCCCCTTTGGTCCCAGAAAATTTATGGGAAAAGGGTGCAGGGAAAGCAAAAAAAAAAACCTGGTATGAATGAAGCTGGCAGGGCTGCTCTATCTGGTTTCTGCACAGGAACCAGGGTGTTTTAAGGTGGACGCAGGTATCTGTAGGACAGTGACTGTGGATGCTGTGGGCTGACATAGGCACGTGGATACATCCCAGCACTGTAGGAAAACCAGGTATTTCTCACTGGAGAGAACTGCTGGAAGATCTCAGCCACTGTTCAAATGTGTTCAAGAAACCCACTGTTGATTCCATAAGCAACTTCCTACATAGCACACCTGAAAGTGTTAAGATGAGGACAGGAGGGGTCAGAGGGTTCTCTTCTCACCTGAGGGGCAATACTGAACAAACACAACTGGGCAGGACCCTCATGGCCACTGCACTGCTGAGCCAGGCTCCTTCAGCCCAGTATCATCACACTGCACCAAGCACGCTGTCCCACAACCTTACAGTCACAGAATCCCAGACTGGTTTGGGTTGGGAGGGACCTTCAAGATCATCCAGTCCCAACCCCCCTGCCAGCAGCAAGGACACCTTCCACTAGACCAGGTTGCTCAAAGCCTCATCCAACCTGGCCAAGAACACTTCCAGGGAGGAGCAGCCACAGCTTCTCTGGCCAACCTGGGACACTGTCTCACCACCCTCACACCAAACAATTTCTGCCTCACATCTCAGCTCCATCTCCCCTCTGCCACTTTCAAGCCACCACCCCTTGTTCTGTCACTCCCTGCCCTTGGTCAAAGTCCCTCCCCACCTTCCTGGAGCCCCTTCAGGTACTGGGAGGCCACTGGAAGGTCTCCCCAGAGCCTTCTCTTCTCCAGGCTGAACAGCCCCAACTCTCTCAGCCTGTCCTGTCCAACCAAACTGGTGGCTCTTGGCAGAAAACAGCTGCCATCAGTACCTTGTTACAGAAAAGGAATCAGAGAGCAGCCTGCTGGTAACATCAGCCTTGCAAGACAATTCTGCAAACACATCTCCCTTCTGGCTGCTAACAATTTCCAAGCATGTACGTGGCCTCAAATGCCACGTGGAGGAGAGGGCAAAAGCACTCCAATCCGCTCTTCTGAATGCTAATCAGGGCAGGTCCTTGCACTGCATGGACCATTTGCTGCTCCCTACCCCTTCCCAGCCCAGTCCCACGGGACAATGTGCAGCCCCACAGGCGATCCCATCTCCTGGAGCAGCCCTGCAAGAAGCAGCTTCCCTCAGGCATCATGGAAGCATCTGTCCTCCAGCTACAAGGGTCTGTCCTCCAGCTGCAAGGGTCTGTTCTCCATCCTGGCAGGCTGGGCATCCAGCAGCTGCCCAGAGAAACCACAATCGAGGTTCATAGAAGGCATGGGGTGGTGAGTCCTCACATGAGGGAGCCGTGTTCTGCTGCCATGCCTCCGACAGGAACTAGGTCAGAAAAGGAAAAGGGAGCACTTGCTTGATTTGCACACTCCTTAGGGGGAGTCTGGATGATGCAGGGGCTGAAGCTGGTAAAACTCTGCCTCATTCCACCCCAAAAATGTTCCACGCTGTAGGAAACTGCTCCAGCCCCGTGTCCAGGCCAGGGGCCTGGCTTGTAAATGAGCCAGGAGGATTTGTAGCAGATTTGGGGAAGGGAAGGAGAAGGAGGCACCTGAACTGCACACACAACACTTATCTAAACAGCGAATTTCTGCACTAAAATAAAGGAGCAGGTTTTGTACAGCTCATTCCCTTTGCAACAGCCACCCTAGAACAAGTTTTTACCCCCAAGCCAAGCACTTCAGTCAAATTTGAGAATAGTAACGGGATCTTCTCTCATCATACTGCAATGTAACTTCAGCATGACAACAAGGAGAAGTATCATCAGTTTTCCCTCTCCTCCTCCAGAAAGGACAACTCAGAGCCATTGAATTGACATTTGTAGGCTGCCCCCTCTTGATAAACCTTCCGTCCCTGAGAGCAATCCTCCAGGGTATTTCCCTGCATATAAAATTCAAAGAAGGTATGTGCAGTGCTAGTGCTTCTCAACAGTGATGCTTTCCAGAGGAGGTTTCCTCTCTGTATGAATGAATCAGCTCTGCTCCCCCAGGACAGCCGTGGGATGCAGTGAGGGGGTGGCAGACATGATCTGCTGTGACAGACAGCGGCTTGCAGAGAAAGTGGAAGTTCAGAGGACTTGGTGGGGTGGGTGGGATTGAGCTGTGCTTTGCCAGGGAGATGAAAAGATTACCTAGATGCAATATTAGGGAAGTCACAAAATCTGTGTCAGAAAAGAGAGCGATGGAGCAGGGGAAGGGGAAGGTGGATGAGCTGCCATTGATTTTTCAGTTGGGGTCTGGAGGTTGGCAAAGTAAAGGGGCCAGTCAGGGCAGTGCCAGCTTTGTGCACGCTGGCCAAGGGCCAGATGAAGGGCTAGCCAGGACAGATTTGCATCCTCCTCTTCATCCCAAAGGGGAACATTGAATTCCACCTCTGCTGCCTTCTTGCTACATGCAATTTGCAGCTGCCAAGCCATGACAATTCAGGCAGCAGCTAGTCCTGGTTTTAGGCAGGGAATAAAAGCAAGAAACTTCTGCATTTATAGTTCAGATGGATCCAGCAGCAAATCTGGGAAAGGCAGGAAGCCCATTGCTAAATACACTCTCTTCCTGGCCTTGTTTCTCCATGTTCAGACACTCCTCTGAGCTAAATGAGGGTGCAAAGGAGACATATGGCTGCTTGGCTGCAGCTGCCTACACACAGGCTCCCGTGCTGCAGTCGGATGGAGGTACGTGAGGTAGCTCATCCCACCAGGCAAGAGAGTTAACCCACCTCTCACTTTTCAGGAGGGAAAGGAAACAAGCATGAGTGGGGTTCACTTTCTCAGTCCCTATCTCCAAGCCATGACCACAGGACCAAGTTTCCTGCTTACAGCCTTCTTGACCAGGCTTCACAATTTGCTTCAAAGACAAGAATCTTGACTCACTTCCCCTCCATCTCCTCCCTTGGTTATTAACCAATTTCTTTTTATTATTATTATTTTTCTTCTTTCCAAGACTCACTCCAAAAGGCATTCAACAGGGCAGAATAAAAATCTTACCAGACTCAGCCCAGGTCATGAACGTTAATGGAACAGAGTTTTCACTACAGAGAAGGCTGCAGAGCCTCACTGCCAAGAAACCCTGACAGAGCCATAACAACAGCAGCTTTCTCCATCCTCAGACTGGTTATAAAATATAAAGTATACTTAGAAACAAAACACATCCAATCCCATGCTTAAGAAGAGTTCAAATGCTCTGTGGGCTCAGAAATAAACATCCTGAGACTGGTGATTCACTGGTGGGCAGGACAGTCCCCACCAACCACGCTGCTCTGATGGACAAAGTCAGTTCCAAGCACCAGGAGAAGAACTGGGCAGGAAGAGCTGCCCCAGCCCGAGGGAGGTTTACTGGTAACAAATGGTAATTAAAACTAACAAACCAGC